TGCCTGGAGCACACGGTCACGCAGGCAGGCAGCCAGGGTGCCCGGGGCTCGCACGAGACCTGGGGGCTGGGTAGCCAGTGAGCGGCTGTTTCCACACTGGAGGAACAGGAGTTGCTAACCCAGAAGCGCAGCTGCTGGGGTAACGTCAGGGAAGTGGCTCGTCTCAACCCAGAGCAGAGGAGAAAAGTCAGGCAGGCTCTAAGGAATAGGGCCTGGGCATGCTGGGGAAAAAACAACAAAAACAACAAAAAAACGCACGTCCTATTTTTGCAGAGGGAAGGGCACTGGATGAAACAAATCCTAAATGGAGAACGGGTTTGGGAATAAGCCATTCCTTTCCCTACTTGCAAGCCACGACATCATTCTAGCCCCAGGCTCTGAGTATGCATGTGCCACACACCCTGTTAAAACCCCACAAAAGGGGGATTATTTACAGTCTCCATTCTATTGATGAGAAAACCAAGGCTTAAAGAGGTCAAGGAATCGACCTCTGGTTACAAATCCAGGATGTGAACCCAAGTCCCTGGGTCCAGAGCTGATACTCTTAAGCACCCAGTCACCCTTGCTGTCCATACCTGTCTGGGAATACCTCTTGCCAGAAGGCTAGGATCCACTGTCCTGGGAATGTTTCACATGACAAACAGGGCAGGCCTGTCCTCTACAAGGTGTGGTGGAGAAGACAAACCCTTACAAGAAACAAAAAAGTCTGCCTGCTTCCAGAACAAAGCTGTCTCTCTCCCCTCGTGATCTCCTTGAACCTGATGAATGAAAAGCACTTTCAAGAAATACCTGGGGCGCAGTGCACCTCAACTCAATCAGGGCGCTGCCAATCTGCAGATTTATCAACATGCTGGAAGGGAAAATATATGAACTGCATGCCCTGAAGGGGAGGGAGAAACTGAAGCTTCATCTCATGATGCTGGAAAAACCAAAAGAAGCCTGTTGCCTAAGCAGGACTCTCATAATCCCAGAACCACCAGCACAGAACTCCCCTCCACCATGGTTCAGAACCCAGAGCCAGCATCTTCCTTCCATGTGAAAAGCTCATTACAAGGCAAGGTCAGCAATTCCAGGACACGGATTCCATCCTGCAAGGGTACCATGGGGTCTCCCCTACCTCCTCACTCTCCTTGGGCCACCCATTCATGCCCTCCTCTTCCCACTCACCACCACATGTAAGGGTTTTCACTTCACTCTGTAACCAGCCTTCATCACAACCTAGGCTCTGTGCTCAGAACTGGAAAGAGAGGCTTCGTAATTCTCAGCTGAATACGGGTCTAAAGTGGTAGGACACCCTCAAGCTATTCAAAGAAAAACCACCAGAGGAAACAATTTCAAATCTGGCTTTACAAGCATGTGATTTAAAAATAACTCTGCCTTTGTCTGCTATAGATGACTTCCCTAAAGGGACTGCTGTCCTTAAAGCAATTGCTCAATTCTCAGGGCAAACTGATTCTTATTTTTCCAGTACGCAGCACATACCTCCAGGAAAGCACTCCCAGGTACCACCTCTGATAGCATCTGACATGCAAACATCGAAGTGGTCAGGATGATTTCCTGCCTGGGAAAGTCCAGGCTGGCCTGGGAAAGTCTAGGAAGCTGCATCTCAGGTGACTGAGAAGCCCGTGCAGGTGGCTATAGCATCCAGGAACCACCACTCTTCTTTCATTAAGATGTCACCCCAGAAAGCTTAGCAGTAACCCCATAGCCACAGGAGGTTTCAATGGATCCCTGGGTTATTTCTTCAAGGAAAATTGTATTCAGATATTTAATTCATTCTTTGATCAGATAGCTAGACAGAGGAATAAGGATGAGTATATAAAACAGGAAAGAGGTTGGAGGGCAGTCAGGGTAAATAGTAAGAGAATTCACAAGAACGCTCACCTTGTCATTCCAAGACACGCTTGGGGTAAACCTAGAAATGCATAATTTGTCACCTCACAGCTTCATTTCCTTTCAACCACACAGGCAGCACTAATGGCACAATGTTACTGAGTGTAACTCAAAAGATGCATGCTGAGCAGAGAGCAGAAAACAAATGTTTAATAAAATTGCTTTGCAGTTATCTCCTGATTAGTCTGATGTCTCAGTTTTATCAACTAAAAGTGTATAAGTATACTCTTATTAACATTATATTTCTTCTTGGCAACTTAAGGTCTCCTGACCTTCTCAAAAGTTTTGCCATAAAGCATTACAGGAGGTAAAAAGCATCCATGTGTGTGACAGGACCCTGAATTAAGCCCAGATTTTGTCATTCAAATCGAAAGTCAGAGATCAGTAGTTCTCAACGGAGGTGATTTTGCCCTCAGGGGACATTTGGCAGGAACTGGAGACATTTTTACTTGTCACAGGCTGTGGGAAGGGGTAGTTTTACTGCCTTCTGGAGGACAGAAGCCAGGGATGCCCTTAAACATCCTACAATGCACAGGACAGTCCTTACAACAAAGACTTACCTGAAACGTCAAACAGTGCCAAAGCTGAGAAATCTTGCTCTAGACTGAAATTCTACAATTCCCAGAATGTTCACAGCTACATCTGTGCTCTTCCCTTCTGAGGACTTATTTTCCTCAAGATTAACTTGGTATTTCTATTCTGGTCACCACTGTGATTACAGAGAATAATCAAGAACTTCCTCCTTTTTCAGGTTTGCTTGTGATATACCACCCAACACTGCCTAGAATTTTACTTTGCATTATCACCTTTATAATGATCAGCACTGTACGAAAAGCAGTGTTATTTTACCTGCATTTGGTATTTTAAGAAGAGCTCTAACTTCTTTTCCTTTTTTGTCAGGACTATCACTGAGTTTAACTGAATTGAAGAGTATTATTTTGAAGTGTGTTTCCATTATGAAAAAGGACGTTTAAATGAAGAGCTTACTTCTAGATGCCAGTGCCCCGTCTGATCCTAGTGCCTTTAACTCCATAACCTAACAAAATGATAGCCACTGAAACTCAGCAGTCCTTTGTTACGGATTGCAAACCTGATTCGGGCATCAGACGTTTCTGAAAGTCATTAATACTGATTCTGTGAGCCCTGACAAGTGACTTTTAAGGAAGCTTCAAACTCCAAAACCCCAATTCTTGATTTTTCAGTGGAAACCTAAGGGTGGGGTCCCAATAACTGCATGCCTCTTGGGAAAAAATACAGAGTTTCTAACATGGCACATATCCTGTACGTGAGAGAAAACTGAGAAATACTTGTCAACTGAGTATATGTGTTAGGCTTAGAATACCCCAAGCCAAAAACTATTGGTCAAAATCTCCTGACATTTCTCTCCAGAAAAAAGGGTTATATACTGTACCTAATTGCTTTATGAAGGTATTTCAGAAGGCAGAAATTGGAATAAATGATGAAAGTTGACACAGAATAATGATCGTAACTGTTCTCATTAAAAAATAACTAGTGCTTGTCATTTGACCCTTTATACATACTGTCTCTAATTTTCACAATAGTCCAATCAAATAGAAATTATACCCTCCTACACAAAGGGAAACTGAGGCCCGGAAAGACTGTATCACTTTGTAAGGTCACACGGCTACGAAGTGGTCAGTCTCATTCTGCAGAGAAGATGACTGAGGCATAACTGTGCCTTCTCCCTGAGGCTCTGTCCCCTTCCTCCTGGTTGTTTTCTCACTCTGAATGGTTATTTATTTTGTTGTCTGTTCCTGGGAAAACGGCCTGTGTGTCCTAAGTAACAGGGGCTCAGGGTCACATAAAGGAGTGTTTCCCTAAGCTTCCGTGACCTTCTGAGGTGGTCAGAGGCTAAGACTTAAAGCCATTCCAGCCAGTAGCCTTGAAGTTATAATTCAAAGTGGGTTTTGGAGAAGGGGCAGCACAGAGAGATTTGATGGGAGAGCTTCAACACTAACATTTCAAGGCAGGGGCGTTCTCTTCCTCCTCTGCACCGTTTCGTTTCATTTTAATCTCGCTCTGTGTGTCACAGAAATTCTACACGAGTTGAGGACATAGACTTCAGGAATGATCTCTAGCACAAGTCTCCCATTGTCCTGCTTTCTGTCCTCCCCACAGCTAAGGCCCTTGGCTCAGCGACCTTCCTGACAATTTATCTGGCTTCATCTTTGTTCCTGGTTACCTGCGCTCGCTCGTGAAGTGGCCTTTCTTCCTGTTCATTTTGTACGACAGGGTACTAAAGGCACGAAGACAGAGCTCCCTCAACTTGTGTTTATATCTGAGCATTTGGCGGTGGGTTTTGAAGTACTGGTCATTTCAGGTAACGTTTTTGTGTAATATTTCAACACCATTTAAAGCCAGCCTTGGGGCCTTGTGGGTTTTGATAAAAGTGGATTACGTGTGGTGAACAGATGAAAATGAAAAAAAATATATAAGAACAATTTGGTTTATAGGAATGGGGAAAAGAGAGAGACGGGATCTGATGCTGAAGAAGGCTAAGCCACGCTTAATGTGAGAGCTGCTTTTAGATTTAGTTTCTCAATCGACGACAACACAAGATGAAATGGATGGAAAAGCTATCTGCCCCACACCCCTGACTCACATTTTTTTCCTTTGGGCCAGAGAACAATGCATATAGGTAAACCACAGCCTTATAGACAGTCTACCCAAATCATTCAGCAAGGTCCTATTATCTGTGTATTTGGGGAATGAGGAAAAGAGACAGAAGATGAGATGGATGCCTAAATTATCCAAATCATTAACTGCAGGTTGGTATTTCTTAAACTGCAGTCCTTGGATCAGCTGCATTAGAATCCCCCAGGGGGCCGGTTAAAAATGCATATCCCTGGGCCTCATCCAGACCTGAAAAATCAGACTTTCTGGGGGTAGGTTCCATAGAATCTGCCTTTAGCTGACTCTCCAGGTGATATGCTCATTGAAGTGGGACAACCACTACAATGAAATACAAGACTCCACTTTTCAAGTGTGCTAAAGCACCCCTGTTCGTTAAGACGTTTATATCACCCGCACCCTCTCCCTCCTTCTCCCTCCTCCCCACCTGAAGGGAGAACCTTCTGAGAGTTTACCTGGTCTGATGGGGCTCTGCATACAGTTTGGGGATGGGATGCCAGGGTGAATGGGTGCAGAGGTCCGACTGCTGAGGTCCATGACGGAGGGGGCAGCTGAGGAAGCTGGCTGTAGCCCGGGAGGGTGAGGGCTGTGGTCATGCTGAGACGGGCTGGGGGGAATGCCATTTTCCGACAAAAACTCCTCCAGGTCCATGTATTCCAACTGGAAAGTATCTCCGTCATAGGGAAGAGTTTTGTCCCATAAGGTGGGTCCCAAGAATGCTGACTGAGGGACCGTCGGGCTATTACTCTCATCATCCAGCTTCTTTTCCTTGTCTTTATCTTTACTAAATGCTGCAAAAAGGGGGGGGAAATTGGAGTTTAAAAAAGAAAATGAAAAAGTCTTGCTTTTTTAATCACTCCTCCTGGCTTCTGCTACAAGACTACTTCCCACAAATGCCAGGGTCCTTCTCTAGCTGCTGGTTCTTGTGGACCTAGAGTTAAAAGTTCAGGCAGGACATGGATCTCTGCCTGTTTTTCAACATCTTCCTATTTACTTTGGAAAGAAAGCACTAGTCCTCGGGACAGGGCTAGAGACTGATCTGGGATATAAACAAGACAGCACAGTATTCAGTGCATTATTTGAGGAGACGATAATTTAAATCTACAGTGGTAAAATAACACCTGCAATTACATACAACTGCTGTGATTTTTAAGAACACAGCCAATAACCAGGCATGATTTATCCTCCAGGAAATTGATTACAGTAACAATATGAGGTCATTCATATTTAGAAAGCCAGTGCATTCATAATTCTAATTTTGGTAAAGCAGGGACTCTCCACCCTTCTTTGATACCGTGTACTGAGCACCTACTAACATACCTGGTTCTTTCCATATATTTTTCCCCCAAAAGAATCTCATAATAAACTTGCAAATAGCAACGATCCCCATTCACAATGGAGCAACGGAGGCTCTGAGACTTGATAGGAGCTTGACCAATGCCTCACATTGCAGAGAGGAAAGCTGAGAACTGCCTAGCCCACAATGTGCTTTGCTTCTAAAGCCACTGAGGTACGTTGCATTTTACAAAAGGAGTTTCTTGTTTTGGTTTGGTTTTAAATACGAAGTGTTTTCTTCCTCCTCTTCCCCAAACACTGAAGTATGATCCAACTCAAAAATTATACATGTATGCAACCTGTCAAAAGCACAAATATCAGAAAAGGTGGTTCCTCTGGATACCTGTGATGGAGGTGTGCAGCTGCTTTCTACCTGGAAGTATCACTCACCCCATTAGGTCTTTAACCAGCGCTCTGGATTTGGACAAGTCTAGTACTCAGGTGCGGGTGGCATCTGGGATTAAGCAATTTGGCTTCTGAGCTTCTTCCTCACAGAAACACAGTCTCCATCGCCATTCATTCTAATCCTCATCTCTCAAGAATCTGACTTTAAAACACCCACAGATGCAAAAGACTGCAGGCAGCACCTTCCTCCCAAGTGCTCCTCCTTAAAGGGGAGTTAAGAGGGAAGCTATGTTCTGCAGACGGGGAACCAAACCCCTCAACTCTTGTAATGCAACAGGTTGCCCTAGGAAAGAAGATGCGAGTAATCCCGGGCTACTTGTAGCCAAATGATCTTTCAAGACTTTACACTCTGAGCCGCACGGTTCACCGCACGGTTCATATCTGCTACCGTGATATCGAAGGCATGAAACCCAAACGGCAAATCCCTGGCGGCACCAGCTGGGTTCGGCGCCTCCTCGCACGACCCCTCCTGGCCCGCTCCAACCAAGGTTGCCTGGGGAAGGTTTGGGACTTACCAAGAAAAGGCTCAAGCCAGAGGAGGCTCCTGCGCGGTTACACGTGAGCCTGCTCCGCTCTCCCCTCCCACCAGGAAAAGTGCACTGGGAAGGTGGCAGCGCTGGGGGCGTGCGCGGCATCCCGCCCAGAGACCACTCCCCCAGCCAACCCCAGCCAACACCCCCCTTTCTGAAGCACCCAGCCCGGGAGAACAGGCATCTCCGCTCTCACCTCGGGTGTTCCAAACACTAACAACTAACAGCAGCGATAAGCACGATCCCAATACCCAGGCTCCGCAGTGAGACCCCCGACTCGAGCCCCCACCCGCGTGGAAGCCGGCCCTGTGGTTTCTCTTCCCAGCCCGCGCTACTCTGCCTGCGTGCAGGCGGTTTCCCTCTGCGTGCGGGTGAACCTCAATCTAGGGAACACTGACCTGTCAAGTTCTATCTCCCACCTGCGCCGCCCGAGCGGGACCCGGGAAGGCCCGGCCGGGTCCCCAACGCTATTTTAAACGTTGCTCAGCGAGAGGGTCCCCTCCCCTTTTTGAGGAGGAGGGATGGGGCGATAGGTGAGCTCCTCGATTTCATCAAAGCAAGGCCGGGGTGCCGGGGGCAGGGACGGAGGGGTATGGATGCTCCAGCGGGGGTGCCCGGCCCAGGAGGGGGCCCCAGAAGCGTTGTTCCTTCCCAGAGCGGGGCAGCCAGGAGGGCAGCGCTCACCGTCTTCGTGATGAAGGGGGAGCTTCAGCGGGTTCTCCAGCAAGGACCTGAGCACGCCGTAGGGAGGCGGGATAAAGGTGGGATTCAGTGGGAGCTGTCGGGACATTTTCTCCATCGCGATGCACTCAATTTTTTTTTCTTAAAAAATAAAAAACAACCCCAACCTCCCCCCAAAATGTTGAGCTTTTTCCTCCGTCCTTTACCAAAAGTTCTCGCTTTCAAGGAGGTGCAGACAGGGAAGAAAAAAAAATTACTTATGTCTTTATAAATACATCTGCGTAAAAATATAAAAACAAAAAACTTTCGGGTTCCCAATACAGTCCCCAGAGAGCGCGCCAAGTGCCCGCGGGCTCCTCCACGACGTGCAGGATGCTCTCACTTGCTTCGAACCCCTCGTCTTGTTAAATGTTCAAAATTGCGAAAAAGAAAGAAAAAATATGCAGACAGCTGCAGAGGGCGGAAGGCACCGCACCGCCCGGCCGCGTCGCGCTAGCTCAGAGGCCGCGGGCCGTCCCACCCCACCCCCCTCCCCGAGCCAGCGGCCGCTGCTCCCCCGCGCTCCGCTGCCCCGCAGCGCCGGGCTCAGCGCATCCGGCCGCCCATGTGCCGCGGCCTGACAAGAGTGACGTCAGGGCCCGCACCGCGCGCCGATAGGCGTGCGGGGGCGGGGCCCCACGCGGGCCCGCCCGTCCGCCGCCGCGTGTTTAGCGTCGTCGCGCGCTCCAATTTTCTGGGACCGTGTGGCTCTGGCGGGCTGCAAAGAGACAGGCGTCGGGGCGTCAGGTCCCCTGGGCCACAGACCTGGGCTGAGAATCTAACTTTTTCAGAGCAAGAAGAGGAATGAGAAATTTATCTCAGTAGTTTTTAACCTGGGAATAATCTAGGGAGTTAAAAAAAAAAAAAAATCCAGATGCCCAGGCCGCATCCTAGATCAATTAAATCGGACCTCTGGCCTGACATCCAGGCAACATTAGTTTTTAAAGCTCCCGGAGTGGTTTTAAGGAGCAGCCAAGTTCGACAATGATTGGTTTAGATCGAATTGAAAATACCCTTCTAAATATTTCTCCTGGCGCCAGCCAAGCGTAGCACCCTCTCTCTTGCCCCGTACTTGCTAGAAGTTCTAATGAGTTACAAAAAGCAGAGAGGGGGACGACAGAGACTCGTTGTGAACTGTTTCCCACGCTTTGAAGGGGGTATTCATAGGGATAAACTTTGGCCTGAAGTTGAGTGAGGACAGGAGAGAGACACACAGGGAATGGTATTTCAGAAATATTTGCTCTAGGAGAGAACATATGACTGTGCCTGGGTTACGAGATCTGCACGGTAGTTAAAATAATTTTGTAAAGTTTCCCTTAAAGTGGTATAGGCGTTCAGGACGATCGCAGCGGCTGCAGCTTTGCCAGTTTGGTCTCAGGGCTCTGGTGGTCGCTGAGCATTGCCAGCAACTGGGTGTGGGTTGGGTGGGAGCGCTGGCATCCAGGCTTGGAGAGCTCGCAGCAGGCACCGGGGTCTTCCACTCCGCCTTTGTCTCCTCGCTAAGATTAGGGTACCGTCATCTGGGGAAGGGACTGAAAGAAGGAACGGGCACAAATTAAAGAAAACATTCTTTCAGTGAGGCAGAAAGGCCTCTGTAAAGACTGCCTCTGAGGTGGGATATGCTGGAGTCTCAGTGGCTCTTCCCTGGAGCCCCCGATGGCATCTGGAAGCCAGGAGACCAGGTGCAGGGTGCCCCTGGCAGGGTGACTACTGGCAAGTGCCCTTCCCTCTTTGAGCTGCAGTTTCCTCGTAAAAGGCATATGATCAAGTGACCTCTACATTTCTCCTCACTAGAAAATTATGACGAAAGATAAGGTACCATTCTAAGTGAGACGGTGCTGTAATGTTTCAGATTTCAACCAAATTCCAAAAACATCAGGCTTAGCTAATGCCACATACATTTATTGAGCACCAACTGTATGCCAGGGACTATGCTGGAACTGGGGAGAAAAAGATGAATAAGACATATCTAACCCTCAAGAAAGTTTAGTTTCGGGCCTGGCATATATGTGCATTATAAGATTGTCTTAAATGAGCAAAAATGGATAGATGGAAGTTTGGATAGATCTCCAAACAAATCACTCAAAAACCTACTGGCTTAAAAGAACAACCATTTTATTTTCTCTCATCATCCTGCAATCTGGCCTAGGCTCAGCTGGGACTCTGAGATGGCCAGCCTTCTCTTCCTCTCCATGGAGGGTCAAGGTTTCTCTACTTTCATGTGGCCTCCTTACATGGTCTCTTTGTGTGGTCTCTCCAGCAGTGTAGTCTGACTTCTGACGTGGCAGCTCAGGGCTGCCAAGAGCCATCCATCCAAGATAAGCCCCAGTGTGCAGTGCTCATCAGGACTTTTCTTGCTAGTGTTCCACTGGTCAAAGCAAGACATGTGGCCAAGCCTCGAGTTGGTGTGTGAAGGTACCATACAAGGGCATGGAAGTTGGGTGGAATACTTCATTGGGAGGCCCCCAAAGTAAGAGTCTACCACAGTCATTAAGTTATTTTATCTTAAATAAAGGCAAATAAGATCAGAGAATTTATCCAACATCATTGGACAGAGCCAGCATTTGGACCAAGATCTTCTGACCATAAGTCCAGCATGTCATTGGATGAATATGTGTCCACTCAGTCATTCATTCGGTACTGTAAAGCTCTGAGGGCTGTGCAAAGATAAATCAGACCAGAGGGATCAGGTCGGATGGGAGCTTAGAGACTGGCTGGCGATATGCCATATGTAACCAATGTGAAAAGTGATGTTCTATGAGAAACACAGGAAGAGTACAGAAGAGGTCTGGAGGATAAAGAGAAGGGAAGGGAACCAGCAAGCTTCCTCAAAACAGGACATGAAGACTGCATAGTATTTGTACATGCAGAAATCAGGGATGGGATAGGAAAAAGGGAATTCCAGACGGGAATGACATGGGTGAAGATATGGAGAAAGGAAACTGACAATTTGTGAATGTGTTTTCATCTCTCTTGGATAAACAAATAGGAGTGGAAATGGTTTCATTGGGTAGATACATGTTTTACTTTCCGAGAAACCGCCAAACACCTTCCTGAAGTAGGTGACTTATTCTACGTTTCCAGCAGCAGTTGAGGATTCTGGTTGCTCTGGATTCTCACCAATATTTGGTGGTGTCAATTTTAAAGTATTTTAGCCATTGAAGTGGGTGGATGTCTCATTGCGCTTTTAATTTGAATTTTCATAATAACAAGTGATGTTAAGCACTTTTTCATGTGCTTATTAGTCATTTGTACATCTTTCCGTGCAAAGTGTCTGTTCAAGTGCCTTGTCCATTTTAAAATCGTTTTTTTTTATTATTATTATTGAATTTTAGGAGTTCTTTATATACTTTGGGTACAGGTCCTTTGACAAATATATGTGTTGTGTTTCCTTCCAATCTGTTGCTTGCCTATTAATTTTCTTAACATTGTCTTTCCATGAGCAAAAACTCATGGACTCATGGAACTTTAATTTGATGAAATTTATTAAAAATTTTTTCATGGTTATTACTTTCTGTGAACTAAGAATCCTGAGTTTTGGAGATATTTTCCTCTAAAGTTTTATAGTTTAAGCTTTTCCTTTTAGGTCAATGACCCACCTCAAATTAATTTTTGTGAATAGCACTGAGGTAGGGGTTGAGGTTCTATTTTTTTCTCATGGGAATATCTGATTGTTCTAGCAGCAACTGTTGGAAAGACTTTTATTTCCCCCTTGAATGGCTTTGGTGCATTTATTGAAAATTATTTGACTGTATATTTGTGGGTGACCAAAACCTTTGACCCCAAGGGAAAGTGGGTGCTTTATTTCCAAGGACAGAATAATGCTATTTCTAAGTTTCCTGGGCTCTGATTCATATCAAGCAACAGAACAAAGTTCATCCAAGTTCACAGCTAAAATGAATGGCTCACTTTCGATGGCTCCTTTGGTTTGTTACAAGACCTTCTACAAAGTTGTCTACATTAAGGTAAATAAGAGCCTAGAGTCAGAGGCAATGGCCAATTTGCTTTTTATGTATATGTGCAAATAATCAAGTCTATTGAATGTTTTTGGTTACACTATGAACATTGTTAGCACTCCTGTCCTAACCTGCATGTGCTTGAGGGGGAAAAAAATCAAAACTAAACCTCTGTTGCATAAATCCAAACAAATAAATACTATAAGGAGAACATTTGACAAGTCAGTGGAAAACTCTTCAGTTGCCTCTTCAAGCGAGGAGGGATAGCAGAGGCTTCCGGGGTATGGAACTGTCCTAAAAATAGAAATGACCATAGAAGAAAGGTTTCTCAGAATCCACTTCTTAAAAGATGCCAGCACAGCCCTACTCTGCCCCGAAGCTCTGGAAATCAGCCTTCTGCCCAGCCAATGGTTTCTACCTGTCTTATTTCAGGAGTTTGAATAGTGAGGTTGGGTAAGGAAGTCTTTCTCGCAGCCCAGTGGGGGCAGATGTGATGCAGCCACCTTGGCACTGGCCCTGCAGGTCTGCAGAAAGGTCTTTGCAGGGTAAATAGTGTATGTGTTTCAGATTCCCAATGGTTGTGAAACCTTGTTGAGCACACAATGCCTGCCACTGTACCCTACCAGGGGCTGGGAGCCTGGGGTGGAGAGAGATAAGCACTGGGGTTATAAAAGTCTTTATATGCCAGCAAGCCAAACTTCTAGATGAAGATGTTCATCTTGTTGCCAGAAAGGGCACTTTATCCAGGGAATTAAATCAGAAGTAAAAGGCAGCACATGGGAGTTGAGCTGGATACACCTAACCCAGCTTTCTTTCCTTCCTGAAACCTCTATCCCAGCTAAAACACCGAAAATGGAAAATTATATTGAATTAGCTTAACTACTGGAGACCCTCAAATCCGTTTTCTTGGTGCAGGAACATGCAAACCAAAAACAATCAAACACGTGTTTGGAAGGCTAAGCTCTCCTCCAAAGGATGACTCGTGCAAAGGACCATGGCTGGACTTCCTATCCCAGCTCTGGGTCGTGGGGTGCTTAGTAAATGTGAGTGAGGAAGACTGGGACAAACAGATAGGTAGTAAGCCAAGTATGTGTGTGTTTATTGAAAGCCAGAGGCTTTATGGATGTGTGATAGGAAGGAAGGTGAAGAAAAACTGTGTTGAAGAGAAGGAAAGAAAAAGATATATGTGAAAGAGGGAGAGAAAAAAAATGCAGTGTGTTACAGTAGAATAAACAGAGTTTGGGGTGAGACATACTTCGGTATGTACTACTGCTCCTACTAAAATAATAATTGCAACAACAGCATAGGGTATGGAGCATTGTTATTCCTGTTTTACAGATGAGGACAGTGTGACTCAGAAAAGTCAGTGACTTGCCATGGTCCTATGGCTAGCTGAGACATGGAGAAGCTGTAGTTGAAAACGGTTCTGCTTGACTGCAAATCTTACGCTCTTAACCTCCATACAGTAAATGAATGGCAATCATCCATCCAATAAACTTGCTGGGCTTCCAGCTGGTTCAAATTCTGTCTCTGTCGTGTGACCTTGAATAACCTCTCAGATCTCCACTTTCTTTGTGTAAAATATAAACTAAAGCTCACAGAGTCGCTTGGAG